TAAAGTAGCCAGTTCTTTTTCTTCCAAAGGAATTGCTGTATTTTATCAATAGATGGGAACAAATTTTCGGTAACCTGAAGCCACAAGAAGAAAAAAAACGTTGCTCAGCCATATAAGCTAAGACGACAGTTAACAAAATTGTGAAGAGGGAATTGAAATTTGTCAAAATTGTACCGAATATGAACCAAATGACGAAAAACTATTATCGAAACACGGGTTTTAAGTACGTACTGAGTATTACATGTGGCAGTAGCAAGTAGCAAAATAAAAATTGGAGCAGATTGGCTTAATCATCTTGGAGTTATTGTTACAATAAACTATTAAATTCAAGGAAATTAAAGATCTCACCTGAAGCGGCTATACTCTAGTTCTCAGAGAGGGATTACTTGATGTCGTGTTTCAAGATTATAGATCGATTCCGTTTCAAAACGTACTGGAATGTTCTATTTTCTGGGATTTTGGAGCTACCGAGTTTATCGAGAGAACACGATTCTTCGATTACGTTATCACTTTACAAAGCTTCAACAGTCAGGCTTCTTCAGGTTCCAAAATAAATTGTCCAGAAAAATCTGTGACTGACATAGAATCGTAGACAAACTAAAACAATCAGTAGTGGGCATTTTCTTTAACAAGTCCTTCCGGGAACGTGTCGGATAAAATAGGATTCCCAATTTTATCACCCTAAAATCTCTGTCAGAAGATTTTATTATTCCCAGTTCATAACATACATATTTGGAGAGTTATTCGTATCCTTCGCCCCCACAGCGTTAAAAAAAAAAAAACGGTTTCGATATCCGTGGTGGGCACAGCACAGATAGCCCATTGTGTAGTTTTATACTTAACAACATACAAAAGCAAACAAACAAACGATCGTTACCTTCGATCTAAAGCAGTATATTCTTCTTGAATTGGTACATTATAACACTTAGTTCTGTATATCGTGAAAAAACGTTTCATTGTTTAAAGAAACCTAATCAGTTGATAACGTTTATTTAAGATTACATCCTTCTAGGCGAGTATCCTAAGTTACTAAAGTATTGTTTTGAAACATGTCGTCGCTGATCGGATCAATACATTAGGTTTTACATTCTGTTTTCAGCCAAATGTAATTTTGAAAAATAAGAGAAATCTCACTCGCTGTGTGAAAATCCGGATAAATTAATATACTAAAATTTAGATTGTCTAATATATTTTACGGATGAAGATCTAATATTTTACAACACCCTGCAGAATATGAACACTCACGAAAGTGTTCCTGAAAACTTGCCAAACTGAGCAACCCATATCTATAACTTCTTGTAATATTACTCCCTTGTGGCTCAGTGGTAAGCTTAAATGCTTATAACGAGTCTGCTAAGATAGCCTATGAACAACAATGCTAGCTAGTACAACAGTTTACTCTCAAGAGCTTTATCGTTAATGAAAATACAATATGTGAGTCGAAAAGCTTTACAAATCAGGAGAATCAAGTTTAAACCTAAAATCATTATTTTATCTTTTTTATTGTTACTAACTTGGCATATTTTGCTCAAAAGTGTTCCCAAATAAGATACACTTCACGGAAACAAAACTAATAAAAAGTACTGTAGATATAAGATGGAGTTGGAGGTTGAGTTTTAAGGCCTTGAAGATTGAAGTGAGAATAGCCTAAAAACTAAGTAATAAAAAGTTTATGAAATATTCAATACTTGGAATAACATATAGTTCATATTCTATCTCTTTTTAAATCTTCTTATCACAATTACGTTAGTTGAAACTCATCACTGCTGAGGTCATGTACATAAAAAGTAAGATTAGCTAAAGAAGAGATATGGAGTTTAGAAGTCAATATTCAGTAAATGTCACTATATTTCCTTAAAGTTTGATGTAAATCAAAAAGATATACATTCTACGACTTTCAACACAGTGCTATAGAAATATACAGAGTTTAGAAGCCAATATTCAGTAAATGTCACTATATTTCCCTAAAGTTTGATGTAAATCAAAAAGATATACATTCTACAACTTTCAACACAGTGCTATATAAATATATAGAGTTTTGAAGTCAATATTCAGTAAATGTCACTATATTTCCTTAAAGTTTGATGCAAATCAAAAAGATATACATCCTACGACTTTCAACACAGTGCTATATAAATATATAGAGTTTAGAAGTCAATATTCAGTAAATGTCACTATATTTCCCTAAAGTTTGATGTAAATCAAAAAGATATACATTCTACAACTTTCAACACAATGCTATAGGAATATATAAAGTTTAGAAGCCAATATGCAGTAAATGTCACTATATTTCCATAAAGTTTGATGTAAATCAAAAAGATATACATTCTACTACTTTCAACACAGTGCCAAAGATATATATATATAGTGTTTAGAAGCCAATATTTAGTTCATGTCACTCTTTTACCTTAACGATTAATAGAAATTGAAAGGATATATTTCACGACATTCCACACAGTGCCGTAAAACGAATGTAGGGTTTAGAAACGTTCTAAATGTGTAGAATTATCGATAGAACAATTTATTTTCCACTAGCTTAGAATGTTCGTCTTCCAGCAGCAAATAACGGTATAAAAACAAGAACAGTATTTCAACAAAAGACGTTATTGACGATATATTTTCTGTTATGTTTGAATATCCTAGCGTCAGATTTAGAAAATACCTCAGATGCTTGGACAGATACATAAAATGAACATTAAATTCTATGGTGGCCGCATGGTATGCCGGGAAATGAACCGAGTTCGACGGATTTTGCTTCTCGTATAACTAGGGTATTGAACAAAAAAAGTTAGCGATCTCTATATCACTGT